CACATTGAAGTCTGGCATACAACTGTCTGCAGCACGCTGGGAATTTTCATAGCAACAGGATGTCGGGGCAGGACAACACACTGCCATTAATTGGTACAATCAAAATTGACATGTTGGACACACGAAACAACACTAACAACAGCAACAACAAATACATTTGGCCATGGGAACAGACAAAAATCTTTATTTTTTTGACAAATGGAAAAGGCTTATGGGATACAAATGTTGACCCATCTTCACAAAAACAGAAGAAAAAACAAACAACAAGGTCCTTTACACATACTTACATGCCTCCTTCCAACGACGGTGATGGAAAAACAAGTACGCTAACATTTGACCATGTCACTCATGCACTCTTTTTCTCTCTCTCTCGGCCGGTCAATCCTGGGCGAAGAACAAAAGACCTGCAAAATTTGAATTACTTTTCCATGTGTCCAGCATATCTGCATTTTGAAGACGGAATACAAAGAGGACACATTTTATATTCTAGGTATTTGTTTCATTGTTTTACATGAGAGGGTGTGTGGGGGTGTGTGTGCTTTTGTTTTGAATGACCAATTTCATACTGGCATGTCAATCCCAAGTGTAATAGAACTCAAATAGCCTCACATTCAAACAGTTTTTTACATTATTCACACTTTTACAATCCTTGAAGTGAATCGACAAAAGTATGGGAGCAATGACTGGAGCTCTATGAGTGAAAGGATATCTTCCAAAGGATTCCATTGACACTAAAACTGAAATTAGCATATGACAGAATGCTTTACATAGGGGATAACAAATCAAATAATAATAAAGCAAAATTCCATGAACTGAATATTATTAGCCTTGTCTACTCCAATTCAGAGAGAATGGACTTTGTGTTTTGACAGTTGTTTTGGGAAATTAAAAAAGAGGGAAAATAAAATAACTAATTGAAAATGATGGCATGGAATTAAATTTATTTTTAAACTTTTAAAGGATGAAGATTTTGAAATTGAAATGTACAATTATAAAGTGGAGGTATTTTGAGTGGAGTCTTTTCGTTATTAAAAAAATTAACCAGAGCTCACAAAAATGTCTATAAATATCCAAAGCCAAAAATAATGTAAATAATTCTACTGAGCCCTAGAGGGAGCAGAAAATTTTCTCTAGACATATGTTAAATATGTTTCCTAGGAATGAACTAATAAATAAATATCTATAGCAATTAATAGGTCTTAGGACTTCCGAAAACAAATCCAACAATAAATATGGCAGCTTAGAGGAAATATTGAGTATTGAGTATCCGTAGATTTTGTAGGTCAAAATTCTGCAAATAGAAGTTTGCACAGAAAGTTATTATATTCTACGGGGCTCAGAAATTTGTCTGTTAAAATCGGTATGTGGGGCCTATACGAAGATCTGGACCTGCATAGACAATTTTCTGTCACAGACTGTAGTTCCCATTACGAGGTCTACATACGTAATTTGAAACAATTCCAGTGAATAATGTCGCTAAAATTATCAAAATACCGAATATAGGGAGGTATCGTTATATGGGGGCTATACGAATACGTGGACCTACAAAGACAATTTTCTGTCTTAGGCTGTAGCATCCATTACGAACTTCAAATACCAAATTTTAAACAATTCCGGTAAATAATGTCGCTTGAATCATCAAAATACCGAATATAGGGAGGTACCGTTATATGGGGGCTATACGAAGAATTGGACCTGCATAGACAATTTTCTGTATTAGGCTGTAGTATCCATTTCTAACTTTGAAATAATTCTGGTTAATAATATCGCTGAAATCATTAAAATACCGAAAATCGGGAGGTAACGTTACGAAGATGTGAACCTACATGGCCCAACCTGCCTACTGGCAAAATAAACATGTGTGCAAAATTTTAGTTTTATATCTCAATTCGTTCGAAAGATAGCGTGATTACAACAGACAGACGGACATCGCTAAATCGACTTAGAATTTTACACTGATCAAGAATATATATACTTTGTTGGGTCTGACATGAGTATTTCGAGGAGTTAAAAACGGAATGACAAAGTTAATATACTCTCCATAGTGTGGTGGAGGGTATAAAAAGTTCAAATATATTTCGAAAGAAAAATATAGGGAGCTTAAAAAAGACTTTGGTCAAGACGTTAAAAAATCTGTCCGATGGGCCAAAAAAAATGTCCATAAAATTCTATCTGAGCTCTGAAAGGATCTAAAAAATATTATGGAAAGCTGACGGAGCCCCACAAAGAACTCAGAAAATGTTTTTGGAAACCATAAGAGGAAATGTACCCGAGTCCATAAAAGACTCTGAAAATGTCAATACATGTGTGCGAGCCTCCAGAAAGCTCTAACATTTATAGGAATATAGAAATCTGTTCGAGTCCATAGAAGGCTCTAAAAATGTCTATAGAAATAACTTACCTCAGATTGATATGAACATTTTCAGAGCCCTCAAAGGCTTTGAGAAATTCCTATAAAAAATATCAGACAAATTTTTGGACATGAGATCAAATAGATTTATATAGAATTTTCCAATTCTCTTTATGAGCTCGGACAGATTCCTTAAAAATTGTTTACCCTTCTGAGGGATAGGACATATTTATTGCAATTTTTTAGAGTCCTTTTTGCGCTCGAACGATTTCTATAAGACACAGAAATCTGTCCGAGCCCATACAGTGCTCTATAGAATTCTGTTTTATCCTATGAAGGGCTCAGAAAAATTGATATAGAAATGTATCTGAAAAATTTTTATGAGAATATCTCCGAGCCAATAAGAGGTCTGAAAATTTTCATTGAAATCTGTCCGAGCCAAAAAAAGGGCTCTGAAATTTTCTATAGAAATTCGTCCGACCCCATAAAGAGCTCAGAATAATATTCACTAGAAATATATTCGATCCCATAAAGGGGCTCTGAAACTTTTTTGTAGAACCTAAAAGCGATTTAAGAAAATCAATAAAAGCCCTAAACGAGTTCTTAAAAATTAATCCAAAATTTTTCAAAAAATGTGTCTGAGTCCGCAAAAGGGAATCTGTCAGAGCAGTAGATGGATCTACCCCTTATGGGCTTGTATAAAAAACATTTTCGATATAAATCTGCTGGAACCATAAACAACTAAAAAATGTTATAAAAATCTCATCAGGCCCATTAAGGGTCTGAAGAAATTAGTTTGCCGATCTAATAAAGGGCTCTATAGAAATCTATAGAACCCATAAAATACTCAAACATTTTTCGATAGAAATCATTTCTGGACTTCGAAAGATTTCAGTCGAAAAGAGCACTGAAAAAATCTATTGACCGGAATCCAAAAAAAATCTGTTAAAATATGTCTATACTAAAAAATGGCTCTATAAACTGTCTATAAAAATTTAAATGGGTGAAATATTAGAGTCAGGGTCGGAAATTGGATACTATTTATTCCGTAGGTGTACAGGGTGAGATGAAAAAAACTGCAACCAACTCCAGACTGCTGTCATTTCTAAGCCACTCGTCCGATAGTTGTTAAAATTATTCCAGTGACGGCTCATTATATTGTTAACGAGCGTAAAAAACATTTTAGTGAGAATTTTCCAGAAAAAAAGTAATTCGTGACGGAATTCAAGCATGAAAGTGTGCTTTCTTTATATTTGGCTGGAAAACCACAAGTGGCTATCGTTAGAGCACTCCAGCATTTAAATGTGAATAAATATTTTGTGTCTCGTACCATCGCTCGTTACTGTGATACTGATAGCGTAGCCCGACGTCAAGGAAGTGGTCGGAAAAAAACAGCAACATCAGCAGAAATGGTTCAGAAATGGTAAAGAAACGACCTGAACGAAACCCGCGTCGCAGTGGCCAAAAAATGGCTCGTGAGCTGAACATATCGCAATATTCCATTCGGCAAATATTGAAAAATGGGCTCGGGGTAAAACTATTAAAATTCCAAAAATTGCTAGAACTTACACCGCACCAGAAAGAGTTGCTTACTCCGCTGCGATGAGAAAACATTCGTTGTCCAGCAGTTTGTAAACAAACAAAATGATTCTGTTTTATTGCCAAAGAGGTCTGAAAAGGCTGAAAATGTGCACCTTCGGTTGGCCACCAGAACTCAAGCCTTGGGCAGGCCATGGTGATGGTGTGGGCCGCCATAACAGCCGATGGTCACTCTTCGCTCGTATTAATCGGCCGTGACATCAGAATAAATGCCGAATATTATCGGCAGAGTGTGTATTAAAGCCTTGGCTATGCAAACATTTTGGCCACAGACCTTGGACATTCCAACAGGATTCAGCACCATTGTACTCAGCATGCGCCACCCAAGAATGGTTAAAAAGTGGGGTTCCTTGCTAAATTTCCAGCGCACAATGGCCACCATAATCTCAGGAATACCAATCCGTTGGACCATTTGGTCTGGAGTATTTTAGAAAGCAAGATTGGCTCTAAAAAAATACCAAAGTGTCGATCACCGCAGCAAGCGCTTCGCCGGGAATGGGCCAAAATACCGCAGATAAACTTTCGGTCAGCGTGTGACGGTTTCATTGGCCGTTTGAAGGCCATAATTCGTGCCAAAGGTGACCAATTCGAGCAAATCTAAACTTATTCTAAAATTTGATGCTATTTCCGATATTTTTTGCTTTCATAGAATAAAATTTAAAAAAAAGAATGTTAGAATTTTGATACTAACGGAATGACGAACTTAATATACCTCCATACTATGTATAGTGGAGGGTATAAAATTGTTTATATTCCCTAGGAGGGCTTATCCCATAGATGGCTTACAACATTTTTGAAAAAAATCAGTTGGGTTCTAGAAGGACTCAGAAAAAATACTTATCAACGTTTTGCATCTGTTGAACCATAGAACAACTTATTAGAGCTCTATAAATTTATGTTAAAGTTTCCTGGGTTAATTCAATAAAACATATATATATATATATATATATTTTGTTTTATTTATTATTATATATAATTATAATATAAATTTTTTTATATTATATATAAAATTATGCTATTTATTATTAATTGGGTTGGGGTAAAAATTAAATTATTCGTTCCATTGTTCATAACCATCATAACTTTGGTAATTTTCATTCCAGCCCACTTGATAGTCCAATGAATTTTCATTATAATAATCATCGTTTTGATCCTGCTCTAGTTGACTGTCTATATAAGGAGGATCTAAGTAATCACCAAAACCATTTTCTAAAAAAAAATATTTTTATTTTATTTTTTCCAAATTATCCAAAATAAATTTTAACTTTCTTACCTCCATCCAAATGCTGCCACAAATGCTGGAAACGTGGATCCATTTTCATTTGCCGCATAATTTCCCCCAAAAGCCTTGGATCGAGTTGTGACGCGTCATAGACCAAGTCCTCATCATTGCCCGTAAAATCCATATAAGGATATGGACTGTCACTGTAAATATCTCCACCACAGGTGTCTGGCATCCAGCTGGTGTCTAGATCATCCTCATAATGGACATCATTGTCCGGCATGCCAAAACGTTTTAAATCATTCTAAATTATTGTCAGTTTCTTAAGAATTAAAATTCCATAAATAACTCATAAAAATCTTCCTACCTCATTTTCAATAATGAAATCTTTAATGGCAGCCCATGCTGGGAAGGAACTCGATATTAATGCGACAGTGAAGAAAATCAGTTGGCTTTGCATGATGCAACACACTTAAATGCGAATTATTTTGGTAATAATTCAACATTGACCCATAGAAGCGTAATGACCTAAAATTCAGTTTTTTTTTAAATATTTGATAAATATCTTTATGGTAAATTTGTTGTCCACACCATGACCGGCTGGGGTAAGGGGACCAAATCCATTAGCATGACATGAATTTATATCTCTTTGGCAAACAATTATAATTCCATGGCGAATAAATTGTTTCAAAATCCAAATGCAAAATCGATATCTATCTTATTTTCATGAGAATTAACCAGTTGTTGACCTTAATTGAATGACAAGGTCAAATATTAAATATTTTGTTTTGGTAATTTATGCGTGCTGGAAACGCACCTGTTGCAGCAAAACAACGTGGAAAATAAAGTGTTATGTATTAAAGCGTTCCTAACTAATTTGTATGCCATCTACCATGCAGGGTGAGATAAAAAACTGCAACAAAGTCAAATAATTTTAATATTTTTTTTAAATTTTATTAATTCAAAAAAAATGCCGGAGAAGCATCAAATTTCAGAACAAGTTTAGATTTGTTCGAATTGGCCAACTTTGGCACGAATTATGGCCTTCAAACGGCCAATGAAACCGTCACGTGCTGCACGAATTCTGCTCTGCTATAAGTTCAAAGATGGGTGAACGATATCGTATATCCCCCATTTAACTATACCTCTCTTTATTCGTTAAAATTGTCTGAAAATCCACACAAGAAGTTCTTTCTAAGCTCTTTACCCCCTGGAAAAGAATTGTCTATATAGGTCCACGACATCGTACGACATACAACGGAACGCACCGATTTTCGGTATTTTGATGATTTTAGCGACAATATTCACCGGAGTCGTTTCACATTTCCTATTTAGAGTTTGCAATGGGTATTACATCCTATGGCAAAACATTGCGTATGCAGACCCACGTCTTCGCATAGCCTCCGCACCACCTAGTATTCGGTATTTTGACGATTTTAGCGACAATATTTACCAGAATTGTTTCAAATTTCATATGTAGAGTTCTACAGCCTATGAAAAAAATAGGTATTGCAGCTTATGACAAATAATTGCGTATGCATTTTTTGCGTCTTCGTGTAGCCTCCGAACATCCCAATATTTTTATTAATATTTAATATTTTTATAATTGTAACCATAATATATCAATAGAATTGTCTGAAAATTCATACAAGAGTTCCTCTGAGTATTTTACCTCCTGGAATAGAATTGTCTATATGGGTCAACGATATCGGATCCCCGACAATATTTACCGACATTTTTTCTCATTTCGTATTTTAAATTCACTCATTTGGCTCAATAAATGTTTATAAAATATTTTTTATCAATTATGAACTCGGAAATATTTCGATTGACTTATTGGATTGAACAGATTTCCATCAATATTTTTGCACCCAATAGATTTATATATTTTTTTTCTGAATCCTTTTAGGGGCTTACAAATTCCTTTAAAAATTTTCTCTTGTCTAAATAAATTTCTACATAAAATCTTCTGAACTCAATTAAGTTCTAAGGCATTTTATAGGCTTTTCTAGAATATTTTGAGGGCTAAATGGATTTATCTAGAAATATTTGCGAATCCTTCTAGGGCTCAATATATGTATTTGAAAGCTTTCGAACCCTTTATGGGCTCGGGAAATATCCAGCGAAAATTGTCGGCGTCATTTATGTTTTTTGGAAAGAGATTTCTTTAGGAACATTTGTGAATCCATTTTGGGCCCAAGACATTTTTCCATAGACAATTCTGAGAGTGCGTTGAGGCTCAACAAAAAATTTTCAGATTTAGAACAGTGTGGCTTGTTTGTTCGGGATACCGTAGTATTTTGTTGTTGGAAAATGGTCAGGCTTTATCCCTTTATTGTTGTTTTTATAAAAAAACGTTTGTTTATTAGTGGAGAACGATGGTAATTTTTACCAGGGGGTAAGGCAGGGAATACCTAGGTTTCGGAAAGAGCCACCAATCCTCATCAGTTCCCTTGCTTTCTGTCTGGGATATTCTCCCCAGAAGTTATTTAAAAAAACATTTTTTACCCAAGTGACGAGATCGTAAGCTCAATAGAAGAGGAACCAAAGAGGGTAAAAAATGGTTTTTTGTCATAGAAGTTATTTTCAAAATAACTTCTGGGGAGAATATCCCCTCACCCAATAACAAATTTAGTTCAATTTAGTAAATTTCGGACAAGTATAAAACACATTTCCAATTCACCTCTAAAGCTCAACCTCAGATACCACCAAAAATCTAAATATTAAATTTCGAGATTTCAGCTCTATCCCTCCACCCAATATGGTACCATTCAATACTTTTCGTATCCTTACATGGTGAGATAAAAAAACTGCAACAAAGTCAAACGCCATAATTTTTCCTTTTTTTAATGTTATTGAATGAAAGCAAAAAATGTCGGAAATAGCATCAAATTTTAGAATAAGTCTAGATTTGTTGGAATTGGTCACGTTTGGCACGAATTATGGCCTTAAAACGGCCAATGAAAATCTCACACGCTGCCCGAATGTTCCTCTGCGCTATTTTGGTCCATTCCCGGCGAAGCACTTTCTGTAGGTGATCAACATTTTGGTATTTTTCAGTGTCAAGCCTGCCCTCCAGAATATTTTCGCGATATTTTTTGGCATTTATTCTACTGTCACGGTCGATTAATACGAGCGGAGAGCGACCATAGGCTTTTATGATGGCCCATACCATCACCATGGCCGGCGTCTGAGTTCTGGTGGCCTACCGAAGGTGCACCTTTTCAGCTGACCTCTTTGGCAAGTAAACACGATCACTTTGTTTCCTTACATACTGCAGCACAACGAATGTTTTCTCATCGGAGAAAACCAAATTCGGCACCTCACCACTTTCGGTCAAGCGAAGCACCTATTTAGCTCTTTTGAGTCTATTTTCTTTCTGTTGCGGTGTAAGTTCTTGTACTTGTTGGAATTTCGAGCTCATTTTTTCAATATTTTCAGGAATGGAAAAATGCGATATGTTCAGCTCACGAGCCATTTTTCGGACACTGCAACGTGGGTTTCGATCAAGTCGCTTCTTTATTTTTCGAACAATTTCTGCTGATGTTGCTGTTTTCTTCCGTCCACTTCCTTAACTTCCGTCGGTCTACATTACCAGTATCACGGTAACAAGCGATGGTACGAGACACAAACGATTTATTCACATGTAAATGCTGGAGAGCTCTTACGATAGCCACTTGTGGTCTCCAGCCATATATAAAGAAATCACACCATCACGCTTGAATTCCATCACGAATAACTTTTTTTCTGGAAAATTCTCACCAAAATGCCTTTGTACGCTTCTAATCAACATAATGAGCTGTCACTGGAATAATTTTAACAGCTGTCGGACTAGTGACTTTAAAAATGACAACAGTCTGACTTTGGTTGCAGTTTTTTCATCTCACCCTGAATGTATGAGCCCTTTGTGGACTCAACAGATTTCTTAGTCAAAGCGGCTCTAAGCATTTCTATAGCTCTCTGTGGATTCATCGAATATTAGTATATCCAACAGATTTCTATTTTTGTGTATTCCTCTGATACTTCAATGACCTCAACAGATTTCTAAACAGATTTTTTCTGAGACCTCTATTGATTCAACAGGTTTCTGTAACAATTGTTCTGAATCTCCTGTTGATAAGGACTGAATAATACAGTTTTTGAGTGCTTCATAGGCTTGGAAAGATTTTTGGAAGATTTTTGAGACCCCCAGTAAAATTTTATGATTTTTCAGCTCCACCCTAGGCTAGGAAACCAAAAAAGTAATCGCCCCTTTTTCTCACAATTAAATTTCCACAAATAATTTTTACAATTAAATTTATTAAAACGTAAAAATCTATAACAACTTACATATCTAAGCGTACATACAAACACAATATACATACTTACATACATACATACATACTGCCTACATAACATCTTATATAATTTACGACTTAAAACTAAAACATAACCTCAAAGGACTTTACACGCAACACACAAGTCTTGGTCCGCCTCCTCTCAAAATTATGATCCGCTTAGTTCTAATTAAATCATCGGCAGTGGAACGTGCGGCAAGGGGTTGCATTGGAGAGCAAAGTTTTTGGCCACATTACATGAACTCTCCTCCTGCCACATCTCGGGGGGACAGTGTAGAAATGTTTCGGCATTTACACAGCCATAGACCATGCTGGCGTATGGTGAACAGCCTAAACCATCGATTTTCGGATAGCTTTTGATGCCTCTGGCCTGCATGGTGTTTTTGACTGCAGAAACAAAGAAAGAGAGAAATAACAAAAACAATGACAACAACAATAGATAAAAGAGGATACAAATTAGAATGGAGTTTTTTGTAAAAGGATATGGTTTTCTGTTTTGCAAAGGATAAGGATACGTTTTCTATTTTGCCAAGGATGTAATGGAAAACATGTGGGAATTGTTCTTTTTGTGATAGTGTTCGTGTTCGGTTATTAGACATAAAACGTTAGGCATTTATCTTTGGAAAATGAGTGGATGTTCTTCTTTGTTGCCTCAGGAGATGGAAGGCGAAAATGGAAAATGACTTTGACAAAATTTTTGGTTCGTTGAGTGCAGATATGGGTCGTTTTATGCAAAAAATAAGGGAACAGAAAATGTGGAAAACGAGATACGGGTGAGAACAACTGAATACGAACAGGATACTGAAATGGATATTAAAAATTTATCCAAGGTCCTCTAAAGAAGATAAAAAGTATCAGTTGGTTTTGCCGACAGATGTATACCCTCAGCCAATGTTCGAATATTTATATATATATTTTGACCTCTCTTATGATTATTCATTATTGACCCTCTATGGAGTCGGTTCCGAGGGAAAAACTTGCACATTTTAACTTTTTCTAAAAATTGAGGTACAGTCGTCCGAAGTATTCCATTTTTATACCCCCCACCATACATAGTATGGAGGGTATTTTAAGTTCGTCATTCCGTTTGAACTCATCGAAATAATCATTTTAGACCTTACAAAGTATATATATTCTTGATCAGTGTAAAATTCCAAAACGATTTAGCCCTGTCCATCTGTCCGCTAGTCCGTCTGTTATAATTACGCTAGAGTCTACATCGGTCCACAATATCGTATAGCCCCCATATAAAGGTACCCCCCGATATATTTTGTATTTTAATTATTGTAGCGAAATTTTTCAATGTGATTGCCTGAAAATCCACAAAAGGAGTTCCTTCTAAGTACTTTACCTCCTGGAAGAGCATTGTCTATATAGGTCCACGATCTCGTAAATCCCCCATATAAGGGTACCTCCTTATATTCGGTATTTTGACGATCTTAGGGACATTATTCACCGGAGTTGTTTCAAATTTCATATTTAGAATTGGCAATAGGTACTACAGCCTATACATATGCAGACCCACATTTTCTTATAGCCCCCATATAAAGGTACCTCCCGATATTCGGTATTTTGATGATTTTAGGGGCATTATTCACCCGAGTTGTATCAAATTTTACATTTAAAGTTCATATATGAGAACTATACTCTATGCCAGAAAATTATCTATGCTGGTCCAGGTCTTCATATAGTACTCCTATCAGTACCTCCCTATATTCGGTATTTTTACGATTTTAGGTACAATTGTTGGAAATTTTGTATTTGAAGTTCCTAATAGGTACAGAAAATTGTCTATGCAGGTCCAGGTCTTTGTATAGCCCCTATACAGGGTGAGATGGAAAAACTGCAACCAACTTTAGACTGCCATCATTTCTAAGCCACTCGTCCGACAGCTGTTAAAATTATTCCAGTGACAGCTCATTATATTGTTTACAAGCGTACAAAAACATTTTGGTGAGAATTATCCAGAAAAAAAGTTATTCGTGATGGAATTCAAGCGTGATAGTGTGATTTCTTTATATTTGGCTGGAGAACCACAAGTGGCTATTGTTTGAGCACTTAAAGTGAATAGCATTTAAATGTGAATAAAGCTTTTGTGTCTCGTATAATAGCTCATTACCGTGATACTGGTAGCGTAACCTGACGTCAAGGAAGTGGACGGAAGAAAACAGCAACATCAGCAGAAATGGTTCGAAAAGTAAAAAAACGACTTGATCGAAGCCCGCGTCGCAGTGGCCGAAAAATGGCCTGTAAGCTGAACATATCGCAATATTCAATTCGAATAATATTGAAAAATGAGCTCGGAGTAAAGCCATGGAAATTAAAAAAGGTGCAAGAACTTACATCGCAAACAGAAAGAAAATAGACTCAAAAGAGCTAAAGAGTTGCTTCGCTTGGCCGAAAGTGGTGAATTGCCTAATTTGATTTTCTCCGTCTCCGATGAGAAAACATTCTTTGTCCAGCAGTTTGGAAACAAACAAAATGATCGTATTTACTTACCAAAGAGGTCAACCACCTTCGATTGGCCACCAGCACTCAAGCGCCGGCCATGATGATGGTGTGGGCCGCCATAACAGCCTATGGTCGCTCTCCGCTCGTACTAATCGACCGTAGCATCAGAATAAATGACGAATATTATCGCGAAAATATTATGGAGAGCCTTGGGCACGCAAACATTTTGGGCGCAGACCTTGGACATTCCAACTGGGCTCAGCACGCGCCACCCCAGAATGGTTACGAAATGAGGTTCCTCGCTTCATTTTCAGCGCACAATGGCCACCAAAATCTCCGGATACCAATCCCTTGGACTATTGTGTCTAGAGTATTTTGGAAAGCAAGGTTGGCACTAAAAATACCAAAGTGTCTATCTCCTCAAGCAAGAGCTTCACTGGGAATGGCTAATAATACCGCAGAGCAACATTCGGGCAGCGTGTGACGATTTCATTGGCCATTTGAAGGCCATAATTCGTGCCAAAGGTGACCAATTCGAACAAATCTAAACTTATTCTAATATTTTATGCTATTTCTTACGTTTTTTCACTATCATTCAATAAAATTTGGAAAAAAAATTGTAAAAATTATGGCGTTTTGACTTGGTTGCAGTTTTTTCATCTCACCCTGTATATATGTGAGCTATATCCAAATTTGAACAGATTTCTTTCAAATTTATTAGACGTATTTCTTTACTGTATCTGATACGAGGCATCAAAAAAAGTTTTCTTGAGGTGTATTTTAGGGGTGAGAAGGATTTTAACAAAAAATCGTGTGAAGATATATATGGGACCTATAGCTATATCTGAGCCGATTTTCATCAAATTTCACTCACTTTTTTCCTTCTCTATTGAATTCGGTCGTATGTGCCGAAATTCATTCAATTCGGGCCTATGCAGACCATTTGATGGACAATAATCTTGAAATCAGATAAATATATGTATGGGAGCTATATATTTTCCCGAATATTGTTGTTACAGAGTACATATTATGGCTGTGGAGGACTAAAATTAAAAAACGGATGGACAACATATATGGAAGCTATAGCTATATCTGAACCGATTTTCACCAAATTTGACATACTTGATTCTAGGCTCAATTTGGTCGTATGTGTTAAATTCCATCATATTTGGGCTAATATAACACATTTGGTGCACAATAAAAGGCAAATCGGACGAAGATATATTTGAGAGTTATGTCTAAATTTTGACCGATTATCTCTAATTTCAATAGAGTTCGTCCTTGGGCTAAACAAATTATTTGTGCAAAATTTCATCTCTATCGAGCAATAAATGCGACCTCTACTTTGTTTATAAAAATGGACAGACGGACAGAGGGACAGAGGGACGTACGGACATGCATAAAGCGACTCAGAATGTGATTCTATGCAGATTATTAAAAGGAACTATGGGTCTATCTCGCTTCCTTCTCTATGTTACAAACAAATGCACAAAGACATAACATCCTGACCACAGGTGGTATAGGATATAAAAAATTAAATAAGAATAAAAACAAAACAAGTAAAAAAGCTGTAAGTTCGGCCGGGCCAAACTTTGAATACCCTCCACCATTTGGAACGAATTTGGCAATTCTCTAAAACAATTAAATCCGTTAAAAATTATTTTAAAATCTTAAAAATGCCGAATGTAGCTGTCCTATTAGGGTCTATACGACGACATGGACCTGCAAAGGTAATATTTGTCATAAGCTATTACAATATTCAAATGTGAAATTTAAAAAAAAATCCGTAATAATGTAAATAAAATCATAAAAATACAGTATTCGGAGGAACTGTTATATGGGGGCTATACGAAGACGTGGACCTGTACAGACCATTTTCTGTCCTAGGCAGTACTATCCATTACGAACTTTAAATACCAAATTTGAAATAATTCTGGTGAATGAACTCGCTAAAATCATCAAAATACCGAATATCGGGTGGTACCGTTATATGGGGGGCTATACGAAGACGTGGACCTGCATAGACAATTTTCTGTGATAACATGTCGCTAAAATCATCAAAATACCGAATATCGGGAGGTACTGTTATATGGGGGCTATACGAAGACGTAAACCTGCACAGACAATTTTCTGTCTTAGGCTGTAGATCCATTACGAACTGCAAATACCAAATTTGAAACGATTTCGGTGATAAAATGTCGATAAAATCATCAAAATACCGAATATCGGGAGGTACCGTTATATGGGGGCTATTCGTGGACGTGGACCTACATAATCCATTTTCAATACCAAAAGTCCTGCAGACATAACATACATTTGAGTAAAATTTTATCAATCTACTTCAATTCGTTCGGAAGCTAGAGTGATTTCCACAGATGGACGGAAAACGGTAAATCGACATAGAATTTATGCTGATCAAGAATATATACACTTTGGGGGTTCTAAAATGTATATTTCGAGGTGTTACAAACGGAATGACAAACCTAATATACCCTCCATACTATGGTGGAGGGTATAAAATCCTACTTAAAATCAAATTTTAAATCCTGCTATCGATCTAAGGTCCTTTATGAAAGGAAGACCTTCAAACGGAATTTTGAAAAATAAATTATCTTCAGAGATAACAAAAACATCCAAATAGCCCACATACTCAAAATTCACGAAATTACGACAATAAAACACAACAACAACAACAAAAATAAAATGGTGAAATTTCAAATTATACGCACTGTTGGTCATGCATGTCTCGAATGATTTGACAATGGTCGGCACAATAATCTTGTCACGTTGTTCGATGTTGTTTTGCAAAAAGTTTCGAACCGTTTCCATCTGAATATCGCCATCAATGAAGGAGCCCGTCTCACGATAAATACACTCGGGATAGCACTGATGACATCACGCACACGAATAGACCCACACACACACACAAAATGATCATCAATGGTGGTGGCAATACGTCAATGGAATTAACATCGGGGCCACAAAGGAATAGAAAACAAATACAAAGTAAAGATAGATATTAAGGATATGAATAGTAAAGGATTTTCAACAAATGTATTTCGTAAACTTTGTTTTATTGGTCATTTGGCTACTTAACGATAGTTTTGTGTGACAATAAATTATAATGGGGATAAAGGATGATAAAGGACATGAAGATGATGGATAATGGTTTGGAAATGAATGAATAGCTTATGAGATATTCAAATTCTGCAGGTAGTAAAGAAAAGATATCTTCTTATCAAAAGAAAATATTATTGTAATCCACTTACCACATGAGCATATGCAGGATAATTTGCATTGTGCGACTTTAAGGACTTGACATGTTTATGGCATTTATCCACAACTGATCCCAGATTAATGTTTGGCAAACGGCAGCATTTACTGATGTCCTTTGAAATGAAAAAGGAAAATATTTAAAGAACATTATAATGCTGGAATTAATGTCATTTAATAGCTCAAGCAGCTCCAAAGAACAGAAAATATTCGAAAATATGTTTTTTTTTTTAAATAATTGACTGACTGATAGACTTAACGCCCAACGAAACGGCTGAAGCCAGAATCGTGAAATTTTGTGTGAGGATCACTCTTGGTCCGAAGGAGTCAGATATGGTTGGGGTTTTAAAAAAGGTATGTATGATAGATGTACCAAAGAGTTTTTTGAAATTCGCACCATAAGTGTACGAAAAGTACTAAAATGTACTACATTTGGTACCATATCGTATCATGCGAACGGTTAGAGTAAAAAACTTGAAATTTGGAATGGAAATCAAGGCTGAGGAGTAGATTCGATTTAAGGAGGAAGTTTTGGAAGTGTGTACTTATGTATACGAAAAGTACTAAATGGTACTAAATTTAGTACAATTTGAATTTCGGCTAACGGATGGATTTGAAATCCTGAAATTTGAAATTAACATTACTGGCTAAGTGTGTGGTTTTGGGATATAAAGGAAGTTTTCGAAATGTGTATTTATTTCCACAAAAAGTACGAAATGGTACTAATTTTGGTACAATTTCGATTTGGGTGATCCGATAGAGCTGGAATTCTGAAGTTTAGAAATAAGATTACTTTTGCATTTTACGACTGGGGAAGTTAGGTAGTTTTGGAAATTCGTACCAATGCGTACCAAATGGTACTAAATTTGGTACAATTTAAATTTTGAAAGAACTAATAGAGTTTGAATCCTAATATTTGGAAATATGATTACTATTGCATTGAAGGATTGAGGTATGTAGGTAGTTTTAGAAATTCGTACTTATGTGTACCAAATGGCACTAAATTTGGTATAATTTAAATTTTGGGCGAACCGGTATAGTTGGAATTCTGCAATTTGAAAATTAGATTTCTATTGTACTATATTGTTGTAAATTTAATACAATTTGGATTTGGATCTGGTATCCTGAAAATTGAAAATAAGATTACTGTCAGAGTGTAGGTTTGGGATTGGTAGGTAGTTTTGGAAATTTGTACTTATGTGTGCTAATTAAAGTGCATTTTATATTTGGGTAAACCAATAAAAGAATCCTAAATATACGAATTGGGATTACTATGGGAGTGTAGGAAGCTTTGGAAATTCGTACTTATTTGTACTAAATGATACTAAATTTGGTACAAAATGGATTGTGTTGAACCGATGGAGCTGGAATTCTGAAATTTGCAATGAGAATCACTGATGGAGTTCAGGATAGATTTACCAAAAAAATTTGGAAACTGGTACTTCAATGTTACGAAAAGTTCTAGAATGGTACTAAACTTCCAAAATGGTACTATTTAGTATTATATAAACGGAAAGAGCTAAAAACTTTAAATAAGGTTGGAAAGTAAGTTTGATATGGAAATGTGTACTAAGTGTACGAAATCTACTAATGGTATTAAATTTGGAATAGTTTGGTTTAGGGTGAAGGGATGAAGCTGGACTTTTGAAATTTTGTATCTAGGTCCCTGTTGGTGGTAGGTTTGTGATAGAGTGATGGTTTTGGAAATATGTGCTACAAGTTTACTAAAAGTACTAAATAGTACCTTATTTGGTACAATTTGGTATTAGGTGAACACATAGTGCTCGAAATCTTAAATTTTGTGTTAGGGCCACGGTTAATTTGTAGCCTAGACATTTGGATAGGGTTTCGGATATGTGCTTGGCCTTGATTGAAGGAATAGAGTTGAAATCCTGAAATTTGATATTTAGATTACAAATGGTATCTGTGTTTGATATATGGATATGTGTACTATAATTGTACGAAAAGGACTATATACTACTAAATTTGGTATTGGGTGAAGGAATCCTGAAATTTGATATGGGTGTCATTGTTAGTGTCTGTGATAAAGAGGTGGTTTTGGAAATGTCTACTAAAGGTGCACAAAAAGTACTAAAATGTACTATATTTGGTAAAATTTGGTATTGGGTGAACATATAATTCTTGAAATCTGAAATTTGTGTTAGGGTCACTGTTCATGTGTAGCCAGGACATTTGAAGGTGGTTCCGGAAAAGTGTACAATAATTACTCAAAATGTACTGAATTGTACTATATTTGGTATTGGGTAAAGGGATAGAGATAAAATTCTGAAATTTGATAATTTAGATAACTGTTGATATCTGGGGTTGAGATTCGGATGTAGATTTAAAAATACGTACTATATTTGTACGAAAATTAGTAAATGGTACAAAATTGGGCTTTGAACTAGTTTGGACAGAAAAATTGGATGTAAATCCATTGTGCAGTGGTTTTATTCTTCCCGATAAAGGAAGCAATTGAATAATTCATAAAACTAATTTTGCATTTTGAAATTACTCGAAAAAAATATGGAATCCACAATTATTGGACTAAAGGTACCTTAAAAAATATTCTTAAATATCCCCGGATTTATGGACGGCAGATCCTTAAAAAATATATTTTTTAGAAATTCAAGATCATTGGATAGAAGTCTTTAAAAATAATTGGAAACAACTTTTTTTATGAAATCCACGATTGTTGGTCCGAAAATCGTAAAAAAATATTTTTAGGAAATTTACGATTTTTTTCTAATGGTATTTAAAAAAAATTAAAAAAAAACAAATAAATGAGGAAAAATTCTTTAAAAATTAGATAAAAATGAGAAATGATTCTTTAAAAAATTATTCCTTCAAAGATCTTTACAGATATCTATAATTACGTTTAGGTTGGACTTTAAATAATATTCTTAAGAATGAACGACTATGTCTCTAAGAAGCTTGAAAATATTTTCAAATAATTCCCTATCATAACTTCAAAAGTGCTTGAGAAAATAGTTTAAAGGAATACTCGATTATTAAACTAAAAGTCCTAGAAAAATTGCTTTATGATGTCCACTTTATGACGAAAGTTAATATTTCTTTTTTTGGAGATCAATATTGTTGGTCACACTTTAAGTAAAAATTTCATTTCTTACCGTCTTAAAAATCCACGATTATTGCTATTAAAGTTCTTTAAAGGTATTATTTAAAAATGCACTAGTACAGCCCTGAAGTCCTTTAAAATATTGCTTTTTATATCATCCACCATAGTATGGAGGGTATATTAAGCTTGTCATTCCGTTTGTAACACCTCGAAATATACACAAAGTATATATATTCTTGATCAGCATAAAATTCTATGTCGATTTATTAATGTCCGTCCATATATCCGTCTGTGGAAATCACTCTAGCTTCCGAACGAAATGAAGTAAGTTGATAAAAATTTACTCAAATGTGTATGTGTGTATATAGCCCTCATATAACTGTACCCCCTGATATTCGGTATTTTGATGATTTTAGCGACATTATTTACCGGAATTGTTTCAAATTTGGTATTTAAAGTTCGCAATAGATACTACAGGCTCAGACAGGAAATGGGCCATGCAGATCCAAGTCTTCATATAGCCCCCATATAACGGTACCCCCCGATATTCGGTATTTTGATGATTTTAGCGACATTATTTAACGGAATCGTTTCAAATTTGGTATGTGAAGTTCGTAATAGATACTGCAGCATAAAACAGAAAATGGGCCATGTAGGTCCACGTTTTCGTATAAACCCCATATACCGTACCCCCAGATATTCGGTATTTTGATGATTTTAGAGACATTATTTACCGGAATTGTTTCAAATTTCGCATGTGAAATTCGTAATGGATACTTCAGCCCATTCCAGAAAATTGTCTGTGCAGGTCCGCGTCTTTGTATAGCCCCCATATAACGGTACCCCCTATATTCGGTTTTTTGATGATTTTAGCTACATTATAAACAGATTTTTCTTCAAGTTTCGCATTTAAATATTGTAATAACTTATGACATAGCTGCCTATGCAGGTCCACGTCGTCGTATAGGCATTCGGTATTTTTAAGATTTTAACAGAATTTTTAACGGATTTTTTTTTTTGGAATTTGCCAAATATTCTTACAAAAAATCGCAAAAAATTAGTACTTACGAAATTGTCAAATTTTGGTGGCTGTGAACAATTAAAAGCTCCCATCATGCCATTGGTGGCCGCTGCATCCGCTGTGGTTATCTAAACAATATTACAGTTCTCAGTTAAATTACACAATTTGGTTTAAATCACTTCTGAAACTTACAATTTCAAACAGAACAGCAGCCAAAACTGGCAAGTATTTAACAACTCCACTCAATACAGAATTCATTTTCAGTTATTTTTTATTTTTATTTAACTTTAGAAATGTGTAGCTCTGATAGAACTGGAAAAATGATTGCAATTCTGGCAATTTCCCATATATTTATAGGTAAATAGTATGCGGTGAAAATCCAAACTAAATTCCAGAATTTAATTACCATACACTGCCCCCTTCATCGTTGCCTTCGGGTGGATAACAAATGGCCAATTGAACAAACCAACCATCATACTGGTCAATATCACTAATTTATGGTCCAATGCACCACTGGCGCTCAATTATAAATCACACATGGAATAATCTATGGCTGTGTGTGTGAGTGAGATGGGGAAATTTCGATGGCCTCTTTTGTTTTTGGGTAATTTAGTAAATATTTATTTTCTTTTAGTTATTGACAATTATTTTGATTTTTTTTTTTTTTTTTGAATAACAACATTTTCACATTTTCCATTGACTTCCTATTTACCTTGTTGCCACCACGGGTGGGTGAAAAGGTTAATGGTGTCATTTTGAATACGGGGTTAAATATGAAAATAGTTCTGTAAACATTCTGTGTGGCAACGGAATCATCTCAAGGTCATTATCATCATTTCATCTGTGCGGTCAATGGAACGGTCGTCGTCGTTGTCTTCGACATTCGTTCCATCCATTTGCTTAATGTTCTTCCTGTTGTTCTCTCGCTGACCTCTGCTGCGAAAGTTCTTTGGCCTGTAGTTATTTGTTTTTTTGCGGGATTTATTTTTCACTTTCATTTTCAAACAGAACATAATTGTGGACTAGAGGCAGTAGCTGCCAATGCTTAATGGTCCATTAAATTGAGGTAAAAACGTGGAGGTTTGTGGTTTAAAAAACTGGGGTTTATTTGTGGGAAACTTGCAAGGGTCGTTCAATTTATTACCTAATTAAACATGTGTTATATGACAAATTTGTGGGTGCTATACATTTCTAGAGATTTCGCGAATATGGGTGGGCCATTTGAATTTTTTTAGATAATCAAATTTCGAAGGACCTTCAAGCCAAAATCGAAGACTTTTTAAATATTTTTTTTTTAATAATAGCATTTTTCAACTCAGAGGGTTATAGGCATCGCAGGGCTATTGGCGTGGATTTTCTAAAGGATATTTTTACAGCACCAGCACAACTATAGGCGTGGATTTTTTAAAGAATATTTTTACAGGACCATCACAACAATAGGCGTGGATTTTTTAAAGAATATTTTTCCTGGACCATCACGATTATAGGCGTGGATTTTTTAAAGAATATTTTTCCAGGACCATCACATCCACAGGCGTGGATTTTTTAAAGAATATTTTTCCAGGACCATCACAACTATAGGCGTGGATTTTTTAAAGAATATTTTTCCAGGACCATCACATCTATAGGCGTGGATTTTTTAAAGAATATTTTTCCAGGACCATCACATCCACAGGCGTGGATTTTTTAAAGAATATTTTTCCAGGACCATCACAACTATAGGCGTGGATTTTTTAAAGAATATTTTTCCAGGACCATCACAACTATAGGCGTAGATTTTTAAAGAATATTTTTCCAGGAACAATCCCAACTATAAGCGTGGATTTTTAAAGAATATTTTTCCAGGACAATCACAGCGTCGATTTTTTAAAGAATATTTTTCCAGGAACAATCACAACTATAAGCGTGGATTTTTTAAAGAATATTTTTCCAGGACAATCACAGCGTCGATTTTTTAAAGAATATTTTTCCAGGACCATCACAATTATAGGTGTGGATCTTTTAAAGAATATTTTTTTACCACCATCACAGCTTTATGCGTGGATTTTTTAAAGAATATTTTTCCAGGATCATCACATCCATAGGCGTGCATTTTTTAAGAGTATTTTTCCAGAACCATCACAGCTATAGGCGTGGATTTTTTTAAGAATATTTTTCCAGAACCATCACAACTATAGGCGTGGATTTTTTTAAGAATATTTTTCCAGATCCATCACAACTATAGGCGTGGATTTTTTTAAGAATATTTTTCCAGGACCATCACAGCTATAGGCGTGGATTTTTTAAAGAATATTTTTCCAGGACCATCACAACTATAGGCGTGGATTTTTTTAAGAATATTTTTCCAGAACCATCACAAATATAGGCGAGGATTTTTTTAAGAATATTTTTCCAGAACCATCACAACTATAGGCGTGGATTTTTTTAAGAATATTTTTCCAGAACCATCACAACTATAGGCGTGGATTTTTTTAAGAATATTTTCCAGAACCATCACAACTATAGGCGTGGATTTTTTTAAGAATATTTTTCCAGAACCATCACAACTATAGGCGTGGATTTTTTAAAGAACATTTTTCCAGGACCATCACAACTATAGGCGTGGATTTTTTTAAGAATATTTTTCCAGAACCATCACAACTATAGGCGTGGATTTTTTAAGAATATTTTCCAGAACCATCACAACTATAGGCGTGGATTTTTTTAAGAATATTTTTCGAGAACCATCACAACTATAGGCGTGGATTTTTTTAAGAATATTTTTCCAGAACCATCACAACTATAAGCGTGGATTTTTTTAAGAATATTTTTCCAGAACCATCACAACTATAGGCGTGGATTTTTTTAAGAATATTTTTCCAGGACCATCAAGGCTATATGCGTGGATTTTTTAAAGAATATTTTTCCAGGACCATCAAATCTATAGGCGCGGATTTTTTAAAAAATATTTTTCCAGGACCATCACATCTATAGGCGCGGATTTTTTAAAGAATATTTTTCCAGGACCATCAAGGCTATATGCGTGGATTTTTTGAAGAATATTTTTCCAGGATCTTCAGGGCTATATGCGTGGATTTTTTGAAGAATATTTTTCCAGGACCATCAAGGCCATATGCGTGGATTTTTTAAAGAATATTTATCCAGGATCATCACAACTATATGAAAAATGAGCTCGGGGTAAAACCATTGAAATTCCAAAAAGTGCAAAGACTGACGCCGCAACAGAAAGAAAACAGACTCAAAAATGGAACAAATCTTAACTTATTCTAAAATTGGATACTATTTCCGACATTTTTGCTTTCATTCAATAAAATTTATAAAAAAAAAGTTAAAAATGATGGCGTTTGACTTTGTTGCAGTTTTTTTATCCCACCCTGTATTTAAATAAACGGATATTGGCTGAGGGCATACATCTGTCGGCAATACCGTTTGCTACTTTTAACCTCTTTTTATTTATTTTGAGTGTATTATTAAAAATTTTATAAGTTTCCTTAAAAAAATTAATTCACAAAAATCCGTCTGTCATTCAAGCAATATATTTATAAGCTTTTAAATATTAATGTATTTGTCTGGTTCCACAAAAAAAATCGTACAAATATTTCTTTTTTCCTTTTTGTAATCATTTGCTAAACATCATATTTACATTTCAATTTAAAATTTTCTAAATTCAATTTTGTTTTTTTTTTTTCGCTTTTGCAAAAAGTTTGCATTTGTTAATATTTTCACTTCACAAAAACCCAGAGATACAACCGTTTAACTTCTCCACATATCCCATTCTTTGTTGTTATTTGATTTGGATCGGGGCGGAAAGGTCTGACTGTGAGTTTTGCTGCCTTGCCTTGCTTTCCTTGTTGGGCTATTTCGGTTCATGTTTGTTCATGACAAACATGAAATGTCAGTCAACAGTGATTACCGACCGGACGCCATTTGTCCATATTTTTTCCTTTTCCTTTCGATTTTTGTTGTTTTTTTTTTTTTTTTTTTTTTTTTTTTTTTGAAATACAAATATCCCCAATGTAATGCCAGGCAAAAGTGTTTATTTGCCGAAGGATTATAAAGGAATAAACTGTTGGAAGCCATATGTTTGTATGGGTGTGCGTAAGTTTTATGCAAGTTTGCAATAGGAAATAGCGATATTTTTAAATTTTTATATTGAATCCACAATATGGGTTGTAAATGTTTCATTTTGATAAAAATATGGAATTCTTGGAATAAATGAATATGACATTATAGAGAGCAGTAAATATAACCTTTCTTTTTTTTCAAAGAAGAGACGCCTACTAGATATACTTAAAGAAAATAGAAAATTATTATAATTTACATTGAAAACAAAAAAAAAAAAACCTATAAAAGATATTACGGATCGTATCTGATTGAAAAAAATCAAAACATAGTTCGTAAATGTTCTAAAGGGTTTCTGTATCAGTATCAGAAGATATACAAAAGGCCTTTGGAAAACATCTCCCCTTGCAATATGCGCAGGAAATCAATCTTCAAAAAGAGGGTCTATAAAATCCGTAGTTAAAACAGGGCAATATTAAACCGATTCCACTTCGGTATTTTGGTATAACAAACAATATTTTTATTATTTTTAATTTTTCATAACCGTTCATAGTTGTCCCAACTTTACAGTGACGTAATAAATAACTGCATGTGGTCACCCAAACGTGATGCCAAGCTAAATCATACTTTGTTAAGAGTATATAAAACATCTCCCCCTCTCTCTCTCTCTCTTTCTGTCATAAGCTTCGGTTTATTCTTAGTCGAGTACGGGTAATTGAAATGTTGAGTAAGCACGCTAAACCTTGCAAAATCCGCTTATGAATGTGCGTAAGTTAGTTCCAGCAAACGGTTTGAAGGTACAGTAAGCAAGAAAATGGAATACAGGAAATTGTGGAAGTCCTTATATATGGCGACTACGAGAATAAAGAAAGAGTTTATACAAAAATACACATTTCCTGAAACGCCTATGGATGTGATGTTCCTGGAAAAATATTCTTTAAAAAATCCACGCCTATGGATGTAATGGTCCTGGAAAAATATTCTTTAAAAAATCCACGCCTATGGATGTAATGGTCCTGGAAAAATATTCTTTAAAAAATCCACGCCTATGGATGTAATGGTCCTGGAAAAATATTCTTTAAAAAATCCACGCCTATGGATGTAATGGTCCTGGAAAAATATTCTTTAAAAAATCCACGCCTATGGATATAATGGTCCTGGAAAAATATTCTTTAAAAAATCCACGCCTATGGATG